TTTTTTGATGCAGGGTCTGGCTCTGTTGCCCAGGCTGGAGTGCAGTGGTGAGATCTTAGCTTGCTTGCTGCAGCCTCAACCTCCCAGGCTCAACCAGTCCTCCCACCTCAGCCTCCTAAGTAGCTGGGATTAAAGGCACGCACCACCATGCCTGGCTAATTTTTTTTTTTTTTTTTTTTTTTTGAGACGGAGTCTCGCTCTGTCACCCAGGCTGGAGTGCAGTGGCACGATCTTGGCTCACTGCAAGCTCCACCTCCCAGGTTCACGCCATTCTCCTACCTCAGCCTCCCGAGTAGCTGGGACTACAGGCGCCCGCCACCACACCCGGCTAATTTTTGCATTTTTAGGAGAGATGGATTTTCACCATGTTAGCCAGGCTGGTCTCGAACTCCTGACCTTAGGTGATCCGCCCACCTCGGCCTCCCAAAGTGCTGGGATTACAGGCGTGAACCACCACGCCCAGCCATGCCTGGCTAATTTTTGTATATTTAGTGGAGATGGGATTTCACCATGTTGGCCAGACTGGTCTCAAGCTCTTGATCCCAAGTGATCAACTCACCTCCACCTCCCAAAGTGCTGAGATTACAGGCATGAGCCATCGCGCCCAGCCAAATAAAAATACTTTCAACATCAAAAACAAACAAACAAACAAAAACATCAAAGCCAAGTACAAACCAAAAAAAGGCCTTTTCTCTAAATAAAGTCACATTCTGAGCTACTGGAGGTTGGTACTTCAACGTATGATTTTGGGGATAGACACGATTGACATTGAACCGATAATAGCCAATCATGCCCCTACTAATTGAAAGGCACTTGGTGTTATAGTTACAAACATTGGCATCAAATGGCTGCTCTATCAGTCACTGGCTGTGTGATCTCGGTCATGTTTGCCCCTCTGTGGAACGGAAAATAAAAAAATCACATGCCTGTCTCATAACCCAGGTGTCTACCAACTTTTTCTGTCAAGGGTCAGAGAGTGACCACTTTGTAGACCACACGGTCTCTGTTGTAGTGACTCCATCACCCTAGTGAGAAAGCAGCCATCGATGATATGTAAATGAGTGAACATGTCTGTGTTTCAATAAAACTTTATTTATAAAAGCAATTGGCTGGGCATAGTGGCTCACACCTGTAATCCCAGCACTTTGGGAGGCTGAGGTGGGTGGATCACACAAGGTCAGGAGTTCGAGACCAGCCTGGACAATATGGTGAAACCCTGTCTCTATAAAAAGTACAAAAATTAGCTGGCGCGGTGTCAAGCCTAATCCCAGCCTTGGAGGCCGGCGGCACGAGTCAGGGATCGGACCCCTGGCTAACACGGTGAAACCCGTCTCTACTAAAAAATACAAAAACTAGCGGCGGTGGCGGCGCCTGTAGTCCAGCTACTCCGGAGGCTGAGGCAGGAGAATGGCGTGAACCCGGGGCGGAGCTGCAGTGACGAGATCGCCTGCACTCCACTGGCGCAGGCGAACTCCGTTAAAAAAAAAAAAAAAAAAAAAAAAAAAAGCTGGGGTGGGGGCCTTGTGCAGATCGGAACAGGCTGAGATCGTGCTACTGCACTGCAGCCTGGGTGACAGAGAGAGACTCCGTCTCAAAACAAAACAAAAAAACAATTGGCTGGACATGGTGGCTCACGCCTGTAATCCCAGCACTTTGGGAGGCCAAGGCAGATGGATCACCTGAGGTCGGGAGGTCAAGACCAGCCTGGCCAACACAGAAAAACCCTGTCTCTACTAAAAATAAAAAATTAACCAGGCATGGCGGTGCATGCCTGTAATCCCTTGGGAGGATGAGGCAGAAGAATTGCTTGAACCCAGGAGGCGGAGGTTGCAGTGAGCTGAGATCGTGCCATTGCACTCCAGCCTGGGCAACAAGAGCAAGACGCCATCTCAAAAACGGAAAAAAAAAAAAAAAAATTGGTGGACCATATTTAGTGGCCCCTGTCAAAGGGAGATGTGCACACTGGGATCAGGTCATAACCAAAAACATGAAGAAGGGTAAGGGAGTAAGCCACAGGGATACCTGGCAGGTAACAGTGATATAGGTAGAGGGAACAGCCAGTGCAAAGGTCCTAAAGCAGAACTGTGCCCAGTTTAAAGAACGGAGTTGTGCACAATATAGCATGTAGTAAGTCCTCAAATAAGTGGTTGCATGTAAGTGTTTGTGTGTATCCACACATGCCCATTGATACTTATATATTACATATAACTAACATACCATTAGACAGTCAGTTGCACCAGGGAAGAGTCTATTGCTGTTTTTCCTTGTTTGCGTACTGGTATATTCACTGGTACCCAATACATGGCAAATGCTGAAAAAATTACTTTTTTTTTTTTTTTTTGAGATGGAGTTTCGCTTTGTCATCCAGGCTGGAATGCAGTGGTGTGATCTCAGCTCACTGCAACCTCCGCCCCCTGGGTTCAAGTGATTCTCCTGCCTCAGCCTCTCAAGTAGTTGGGAGTACAGGCGCCCACCACTATGTCTGGCAATTTTTTTTTTTTTTTTTTTAGTAGAGATGGGGATTTCACCGTGTTGACCAGGCTGGTCTCGAACTCATGACCTCGAGTGATCTGTCCACCTTGGCTTCCCAAAGTGTTAGGATTACCAGCGTAAGCCACCGCACCTGGCTAAAAAGTACTTTTTTTGTTTGTTTGTTGTTTTATGGAGTCTTGCTCTTTTGCCCAGGCTGGAGTGCAGTGGCGCAATCTTGGCTCACTGCAACCTCCGCCTCCTGGGTTCAAGCAATTCTCCTGCCTCAGCTTTCCGAGTAGCTGGGATTAGAGGAACATGCCACCATGCCAGGCTAAATTTTTTTTTTTTTTCCAGTAGAGACAGGGTTTCACCATGTTGGCCAGGCTGGTCTTGAACTCCTGACCTTGTGATCCACCCGCCTCAGCCTCCCAAAGTGCTGGGATTACATGCATGAGCCACAGTGCCCAGCCAAAAAATTACTTCTTAAATGAATGAATGAATGCTATGTATGTATCCTTCCGTGCAGCCTCCACTTCTTCAGCTCAAGCAATCCTCCTGCCTTAACCTCCCGAGTAGCTGGGACCACAGGCACACACCACCAGGCCTGGCTCCAAACTTTTTTTTTTTTTTTTTTTAGATGGAGTCTCACTCTGTTGCCCAGGCTGGAGTGCAGTGGTGCAGTCTTGGCTCACTGCAACCTCCACCTCCCGGGTTCAAGTGATTTTCCTGCCTCAGCCTCCCGAGTAGCTGGGATTGCAGGCGCCTGCCACCATGCTCGACTAATTTTTTGTATTTTCAGTAGAGACGGGGTTTCACTATGTTGGCCAGGCTGGTCTCGACATCCTGACCTCATGATTTGCTCGCCTTGGCCTCCCCAAGTGCTGGGATTACAGGCGTGAGCCACTGCGCCTGGCCCAAACTTTTTTTTCAACTCACAAGATTTCTTAAAAGTATTGGAATTGATTGTCATCCCGAGAAAAGTGAGCATATTTCTAAAAATCTAGATCTCTGGCTTCTCTTGAAAAATGAGCAGATGTGGCGACCGGCTCCCTTGCCATATTCTGTTAATCTCATAGTCCAACCCTGGGACAGTGTTGGAAAGACTACTCAAGCCTGCAAATACCAGGATGTTGGGTCCTTGAAGACCATCTAGAAGGCTGACTACTTTATTTATTTATTTATTTATTTAGACAGGGTTTCGCTCTTGTCGCCCAGGCTAGAGTGCAGTGATGTGATCTTGGCTCACTGCAACCTCTGCCTCCCAGATTCAAGCGATTATACTACCTCAGCCTCCTGAGTAGCTGGGATTACAGGCGCGGACCACCACACCCAGCTAATTTTTTGTATTTTTAGTAGAGACGGGGTTTCACCATGTTGGCCAGGCTGGTCTTGAACTCCTGACCTCAGGTGAGCCGCCCGCCTTGGGCTCCCAAAGTGCTGGGATTACAGGTGTGAGCTGCCGTGCCCAGCCGAGGCTGACCACTTTATTTAGCAAGCATGTATTGAGCACCTACTGGCTTTCAGTCATCAAGCTAAGAAGTTTCTGTGTGTTAATGCAACTCAATTGCCCAAAACAAGTCTATAAGTGTATGCCATTAGGCACACAGACTCCACAGCCAGACTGCCTGGGGTTCAAATCCATCCTCTGCCATCCGCTGATAGTGTGACTTTGGGCAAGTGACATCACCTCTGTGTGTCTCACTTTCTTCATCTGTAAATGGGGAAAATAGTGTAATAGTGTTTACCTCCCAGGTAACACCAGGTAAGTATCAGAGGATAACTTTTTTTTTTTTTTTTTGAGACTGGGTCTTGCTCTGTTGCCCAGGCTGGAGTGCAGTGGCTCCATCTTAGCTCACTGCAGCCTCAACCTCCTGGGCTTAAGCAATCTTCCCATTCCAGCCTCCGGAGTAGCTGGGACAACAGGCACATGCCACCTACGCCTAGCTACTTTTTTTGTTTTTTGATCCGGAGTTTCACTCTGCTGCCCAGGCTGGAGTGCAGTGGTGTGATCTTGGCTCACTGCAGCCTCCACCTCCTGAGTTCCAGTGATTCTCCAGCCTCAGTTTCCCAAGTAGCTGGGATTACAGTTGTGCACCACCATGCCTGGCTAACTCTTTGTAGTTTTAGTAGAAACGCGGTTTCAGGCTGGTCTCAAACTCCTGACCTCAGGTGATCCCCCAGCCTTGGCCTCCGAATGTGCTGGGATTTCAGATGTGAGCCACCGCGCCCGGCCCAGCTAATATTTAAATTTTTAGTAGAGACAAGAGTCTGGCTATGTTGCCCAGGCTGGTTTGGAAGTCCTGGGCTTAAGTGATCCTCCTGCCTCAGCCTCCCAAAGTGCTGAGATCACAGATGTGAGCCATCGTGCTGGCCTCATAGCATTTTGCAGAGAAGGAAATGGAAGTTGCCGAAGGTCACCTGGTTAGGTCTGGGTGGCAGGATGGGAAAGCAGGCGGGGGTGTGTGGGCTGCCTTCCCGTGCTGACCTTTCTTGGGGGTAACCATGTTCGCCTCTCCTGTTTCCTACAGATCTGCTCGGGCAGCTCCCGCGGAACCTGGAACAGTGAATGCGTAGGGGACGCCGGGCGTGCAGAAGGCGGGCAGTGTGGAACATGCCTTCATTACCCCCAGCTTCTGCTGCCCGAGGCTGCACCCACCTGTGCCCATGGCCTGCACGGGCCCGTCACTTCCTAGTGCCTTCGACATTCTAGGCGCAGCAGGCCAGGACAAGCTCTTGTATCTGAAACACAAACTGAAGACCCCACGCCCAGGCTGCCAAGGGCAGGACCTCCTGCATGCCATGGTCCTCCTGAAGCTGGGCCAGGAAACTGAGGCCAGGATCTCTCTAGAGGCACTGAAGGCTGATGCAGCGGCCCGGCTGGTGGCCCGCCAGTGGGCTGGTGTGGACAGCACCGAGGACCCAGAGGAGCCCCCAGATGTGTCCTGGACCGTAGCCCGCTTGTACCACCTGCTGGCTGAGGAGAAGCTGTGCCCGGCCTCGCTGCGGGACGTGGCCTACCAGGAAGCCCTCCATACCCTCAGCTCCAGGGACGACCACCGGCTGGGGGAACTTCAGGATGAGGCCCGAAACCGGTGTGGGTGGGACGTTGTTGGGAATCCAGGGAGCATCCGGACGCTCCAGTCCAATCTGGACTGCCTCCCACCATCCTCGGCTTCGCCCTCTGGGACCCGGAGCCTCCTGCGTCCCATCGACGGTGTTGCCGGCTGGAGCCAAGGGCGCTCCCTGCGATCCACCGACAGCCCCGCCTCCCTGGCCAGCAACTTGGAAATCAGCCAGTCCCCCACCATGCCCTTCCTCAGCCCGCACCGCAGCCCACACAGGCCCAGCAAGCTCTGTGACGACCCTCAGGCCAACCTGGTGCTGGAGCCTGTCCCCGGTGGCTGCCAGGAGCCTGAGGAGATGAGCTGGCCGCCATCGGGGGAGACTGCCGGCCCCCAAGAGCTGCCAAGCAGCCCACCCCCTGCGCTTCCCAAAGTGGCCCCAGATACAACCTCAACTGGCCTCCCTGAAACCCCCACAGCTCCAGAAACCAGCACCCACTACCCGGTGGAGTGCACTGAGGAGTCTGCAGGCGCCCAGTCTCTCCCGTCGCCCATTGTGGAGCCCGTCAAAAACCCCTGCCCTGTCAAACACCAGTCGCCACTGCAACTTTCTGTAGAAGACACCACCTCTCCAAATACCAAGCCGTGCCCACCTACTCCCACCACCGCAAAAACATCCCCTCCGCCTCCTCCTCCTCCTTCATCAGCCCCTTGTTCAGCTCACCTGACCCCCTCCTCCCTGTTCCCTTCCTCCCTGGAATCGTCATCGGAACAGAAATTCTATAACTTTGTGATCCTCCATGCCAGGGCGGACGAGCACATCGCCCTGCGGGTCCGGGAGAAGCTGGAGGCCCTTGGTGTGCCCGACGGGGCCACCTTCTGCGAGGATTTCCAGGTGCCCGGGCGTGGGGAGCTGAGCTGCCTGCAGGATGCGATAGACCACTCAGCTTTCATCATCCTACTTCTCACCCCCAACTTCGACTGTCACCTGAGCCTGCACCAGGTGAACCAAGCCATGATGAGCAACCTCAAGCGACAGGGGTCGCCAGACTGTGTCATCCCCTTCCTGCCCCTGGAGAGCTCCCCGGCCCAGCTCAGCTCGGACACGGCCAGCCTGCTCTCCGGGCTGGTGCGGCTGGACGAACACTCCCAGATCTTCGCTAGGAAGGTGGCCAACACCTTCAGGCCCCACAGGCTTCAGGCCCGAAAGGCCATGTGGAGGAAGGAACAGGACGCCCGAGCCCTGCGGGAACAGAGCCAACACCTGGACAGTGAGCGGATGCAGGCAGCGGCCCTGAACGCGGCCTACTCGGCCTACCTCCAGAGCTACCTGTCCTATCAGGCACAGATGGAGCAGCTCCAGGTGGCTTTTGGGAGCCACATGCCATTTGGGACTGGGGCACCCTTTGGGGCTCGAATGCCCTTTGGGGGCCAGGGGCCCCTGGGAGCCCCTCCATCCTTTCCCACTTGGCAGGGGTGCCCGCAGCCGCCGCCCCTGCATGCGTGGCAGGCTGGCACCCCACCACCGCCCTCCCCACAGCCAGCAACCTTCCCACCGTCACTGCCCTTCTCACAGCCACCAGCCTTCCCTACGGCCTCACCTGCACCCCCTCAGAGCCCAGGACTGCAACCCCTCATTATCCACCATGCACAGATGGTACAGCTGGGGCTGAACAATCACATGTGGAACCAGAGAGGGTCCCAGGCGCCCGAGGACAAAACACAGGAGGCAGAATGACTGTGTGTCCTTTGACCTGACCACCTGGGGAACACACCTGGACCCAGGCATCAGCTTTGGGCAGGACCCCATAGACCATTCCGGTCTGCCCTGCGCCCTGTGGACAGTGGAAGATGAGGTCATCTGCCGCTTTCAGGACATTGCCTGGGAGCCCTTCATTTAGGACAAAAGGAGCGCGATAATGACCTGGCTTTCAGGGTGGTCAGAACTGGATACCGTGTTTCCAATTCCAATCTCTATTTTTGGGTGAGGGGTCTTGGTGGTGGGGGTATTGCTACGGTCTTTTAATTATAATAATATTTATTGACTGCTTCCGCAGCGCCATTGTCTTCTGGGACACCTTCTGCCCAGCTATTTATTATAAAACACGTGGCTCCCGCTTCTGCAAAAGGGAAACGGAAGCGGGAAGTGCACGCTTTTTCTTGGAGGGCGTAAACCAGGATCCATCCTCATCCCATTGGTCAGAATATAATCACATGGCCCTGCTCCTGCGGCAAGGAACCCTGGGAAATGTAGTCCTTTCTAAGCGGCCATGTGCCTCGCCGAGTCTGGGTTCTAATACCAGGAAAGGTGGAGGGAAAAGATACTGTTGAGAGCGGGGAGGGTGCAGCCTGGGCAACATGGTGAGACCCCGTCTCTTCAAAAACACAAAAATTAACTGGGTGTGGTGGTGCACGCCTATAGTCCCAGCTACTCAGGACACTGAGGTGGGGAGATTGCTTGAGCCCAGGAGGTGAATGCTGCAGTGAGCTATAAATGAATGAATGAGTGAATGAATGAACGAGTGAGTGAATGAATGAGTGACTGAATGAATGAACGAGTGAGTGAATGAACGAATTAGTGAATGAATGAATGAGGAATGAATGAATAAGTGAGTAAATGAATAAGTGAGTGAATGAATGGATGAGTGAATGAATGAATGAATGAGTGAACGAATGAGTGAGTGAATGAATAGATGAGTGAATGAATGAACGAGTGAGTGAATGAATGAATGGATGAGCGAACGAATGAATAAATGAATGAATTGGAATAAATGCCACTGGGGGACATTTAGCAGTTTTGCTGCAGCCCTTCCTTTTTCTTTGGGGTCTGCCTTGATGCCCCCACCAAGGTTGGACTCTGATGCCACTGTGTGATGCTGAGCAAGTGCCTCACCTTTCGGAGTCTCTGCTTTTTCATCTGAGAAATGGGTCTGTGGAGGCTGTTGTTTCAAGGCCTCAGCGGATGATATGCAGAACCACATAAATATCAGGTACACCGTATCTGGGTAGCAGGTGCAGCGCTCATTAAGTGGGGGGACCCACATGGAAGGGATTCATATTTTTCAGGGTGACAGATCTTCTAAGAATAAGAATGGAGCCAAGGTTTGCTGGACACTTAACATTTATTGATTCTGGATTATAAATAAATAAGTACATACGTAAACAAGACTGGGTGCTGTGGTGGCTCACATCTGTAATTAATCCCAGAACTTTGGGAGGCTGAAGTGGGAGGGTTGCTTGAGGCCAGGAATTCAAGACCAGCTTGGGCAACATAATGAAACCCCATCTCCATTTTTTTTTTTTTTTCTGAGATGGAGCCTGGCTCTCTCACCCAGGCTGGAGTGTAGTGAAGAGATCTTGGCTCACTGCAACCTCCACCTCTCGGGTTCAAGCGATTCTCCTGCCTCAGCCTTCCGAGTAGCTGGGATTACAGGAGCTCGCCACCACGCCCAGCTAATTTTTGCATTTTTGGTAGAGATGGGGTTTCGCCATGTTGGCTAGGCTGCTCTCAAACTCCTGACCTCAGGTGATCCACCTGTCTTGGGCTCCCAAAGTGCTGGGATTACAGGCGTGAGCCACCACACCCAGCCACATCTTTCTTATTTATTTATTTATTTGTCAACTGAATAAGACATCCAACTCTTTTTCAAAAATAAATAAATAAATTGGCCAGGCATGGTGGCTCACGTCTATTATCCCAGCACTTTCAGAGGCCAAGGCAGGCGGATCACTTGAGGTTAGAAGCTTGAGACCAGCCTGGCCAACATGATGAAACCCTGTCTCTACTACAAATAGAAAAACCAGTTGGGTGTGGTGGCACGCACCTGTAGTCTCAGCTACACGCGAGGCTGAGGCAGGAGAATCGCTTGAACCTGGGAGGCAGAGGTGGCAGTGAACTGAGATTGCGCCACTGCACTCCAGCCTGGGCAACAGAGCAAGACTCTGTATCAGTAAATAAATAAATAAATAAATAAATAAATAAATAAATAAAGGCAGGACGTGGTGGCTCATGCCTGTAATCCCAACACTTTGGGAGGCTGCAGCGGGTGGATCACCTGAGGTCAGGAGTTCGAGACCAGCCTGGCCAATGTGATGAAACCCTGTCTCTACTAAAAATACAAAATTAGCTCGGTGTGGTGGTAGGTGCCTGTAATCCCAGCTACTCAGGAGGCTGAGGCAGGAGAATTGCTTGAACTTGGGAGGCGGAGGTTGCAGTGAGCTGAGATTGTGCCACTGTACTCCAGCCTGAGTGACGAGAGTGAAACTCCGTCTCAAATAATAATAATAATAATAATAAAATACTAATAAAAATAAATAAGGAGGCACGGTGGCGCAGGCCCATCGTCCTGGTGCATAAGGAGGCGAGGCCAGACGTTCGAGATCAGCCTGGGCAACATAGGAAGCCCTCATCGATATAACAAAAAATCAAATACAGAAATAAACAAACACGTTTTCATCCTCAAAACGACCCCTCAAGGTAGAAGCTTCTATTATGGATCCACCCTACAGATGCGGCAAACTGAGGCCCAAAAAGATTAATTCTGACTCCAAAAGCCACACAGATCAGAAGTGGGGAATTGCAATGAAAGGCGCTAAGGGAGGAAGCGAAGGACGGTCCCCGAAGGTGAAACTGGACTCACCCGAGGGGCCCCTCCCGCCTGACAACCCGATTGCCAGGCCACGTGGAAGGAGGAGGCTGGTGTGAATCACCCAGCAGCCATGCACCATTTGCTATTTTAGGTGCTGACTCAGATTTTGTCAGAGCTCTGGTCCCGGTGGCAGCCGCAGCGGCCCTGAAGTGAAACTGGGGAGCAGAGTTCTGAGATGAGATTCCAGGGTGCAGTGAGGTTGTTCCCCATAGAGGGTTTTAGACCATCCAGGCCGGAACCAGCTGCAAATACCTGAGCAGGGGCAGTGAACTGGCTATTTCTTTATTTGACCGACGTTCATCGAGCGCCTACTGCGTGCTGGGAATTGTCCCAGACAGCAGACAGAAGTGATTAGTCAGTGACTGTCATTTCCGTAGGGGAGGAGAGGAAGGAATAGTAAACAAGTTATCAAAGAAGGAAGTAAAATAGTTTCAGAAAGTGAAGAGGCTTCAGGCCAGGTGTGGTGGCTCACGCCTATAATCCCAGCACTCTGGGAGGCTAAGGTGGGTGGATCACCTAAGGTCAGGAGTTCAAGACCAGCCTGGCCAACATGGTGAAACCCCATCTCTATTAAAAATACAAAACTGGGCCGGGCGCGGTGGCTCAAGCCTGTAATCCCAGCACTTTGGGAGGCCGAGACGGGTGGATCACAAGGTCAGGAGATCGAGACCACAGTGATCCCGCGCCACTGCACTCCAGCCTGGGCAACAGCGTGAGACTCCGTCTCAAAAAAAAAAAAAAAAAAAAAAAAAACTGGCTGGGCGTGGTGGCTTACGCCTGTAATCCCAGCACTTTAGGAGGCTGAGGCGGGCGGATCATGAAGTCAGGAGATCGAGATGGATGTGAATGGGGGAATCTCCAGCTCACTGCAACCTCTACCTCCTGGGTTCAAGCAGGCACCCACCACCACGCCTGGCTAATTTTTTTTTAATTTTTTTATTTTAGTAGAGATGGGGTTTCACCATGTTGGCCAGGCTGGTCTCGAACTCCTGACCTCAGGTGATCCACCTGCTTCAGCCTCCCAAAGTGCTGGGATTACAGGCGTGAGCCACCACGCCCGGTCCGCAGCCTTTTTCTGGGCCTCATCTTCCTCATTTGTACCACGGACCTCAGATCTGGAACTCCCATTCCTAGCTGTCTCCATGTACCTCCTTTAGATCTGTAAAGGAGGGTCATTTCGAATGCCCTGAGGGTCAGGCACAGTGGCTCACGTCTGTAATCCCAGTAGTTTGGGTGGCCAAAGTGGGAGGATCACATGAGGCCAGGACTTTGAGATCAGCCTGGACAACATAGTGAGAATCCTGTCTCAATGAAATGAAATGAAATAATGAAAGAAAAAGCCAGGCATGGTGGCACCCACCTGTTGCCCCAGCTTCTCGGGAGGCTGAGGCAGGAGGATCCCTTGAGACTGGGAGGTCAAGGCTACAGTGAGCTACCATGGTATCACTGCACTCCAGCCTTGGTGACAGAGCTGGACTTTGTCTAAAAAAAAAAAAAAAAAAGTGTCCAGGCACGTTGGCTCATGCATGTAATCCTAGCACTTTGGGAGGCCGAGGTGGGCAGATCACTCAAGGTCAGGAGTTCGAGACTAGCCTGACCAACATGGTGAAACCCTGTCTCTACTAAAAATACAAAAATTAGCTGAGCCTGGTAGGTGCCTGTAATCCCAGCTACTCAGGAAGCTAAGGCAGGAGAATCACTTGAACCCAAGAGGCAGACATTGAAGTGAGCCAAGATCGCACCATTGCACTCCACCCTGGGCGACAGAGCGAGACTCCGTCTCAAAAAAAAAAAAAAAAGCCCAGGTTGGGCGCGGTGGCTCACGCCTGTAATCCCAGCACTTTAGGAGGCCAAGGTGGGCGGATCACGAGGTCAGGAGATTGAGACCATCCTGGCTAACACAGTGAAACCTCGTCTTTACTAAAAATACAAAAAATTAGCCGGGCGTGGTGGCAGGTGCCTGTAGTCCCAGCTACTCGGGAGGCTGAGGCAGGAAAATGGCCTGAACCAGGGAGGCGGTGGTTGTAGTGAGCCAAGATCGTGCCACTGCACTCCAGCCTGGGCAACATAGTGAGACTCCGTCTCAGGAAAAAAAAAAAAAAAAGCCCCCAGGACCTGAGGGCCTTATCCCTGGGGGGTGTCCAGGCCCTGGGCCAAGGGGACCATCATTGTCCGTCATTTACAGATGAAGAAACTGAGGCCTAGAGAGGTGGAGTCAGTTATCTGAGGTCTCACAGCCACATAACCGACCTGCAGGGGCAGAGGAAGGAGCTGGGTGCTCTCTCCTGGATTCTAGCCCATACGGAGGCTGTGCAGACAGTTCATTCACTGCCTCCATGTTGTTTATTTGTTTTTAGAGACAGAGTCTCACTCTGTCGCCCAGGATGCAGTGCAGTGGCGTGATCTCAGCTCACTGCAACCTCTGCCTCTCAGGTTTAAGGGATTCTCCCGCCCCAGACTCCAGAGTTGCTGGGATTACAGGCGGGCGCCACCACACTCGGATAATTTTTGTCTTTTTAAAAGAGACGGGTTTTCACCATGTTGGCCAGGCTGGTTGCGAACTCCTGACCTCAAGTGATCCACCTGCCTCGGCCTCCCAAAGTGCTGGGATTACAGGTGTGAGTCACCGCGCCCGGTCTGTGAGTTCTTTTGATAAGCAATTATTGAGCGCTTGCTGTATGCAAGTCTCTACAGGGCCCTGGGGCCACAGAGTTCTTCCCTGCCCTGGTTCACTGGGCAGTGAGGGAGCAGTAGGCAGTCATCCCTCCATTTATCTGTCAGCATTTATTGAGCACCTGTGTGTGCAAGCTCTACGCTGGTGGTCACTGTGGAGGTGACCAACACAAATCTGTTTTTTTTTTTTTTTTTTGAGACGGAGTCTCGCTCTGTCGCCCAGGCTGGAGTGCGTGGCCGGATCTCTGCTCACTGCAAGCTCCGCCTCCGGTTCTCGCCATTCTCCTGGCTCAGCCTCCCGAGTAGCTGGACTACAGGCTCCGCCACCTCGCCCGGCTAGTTTTTGTACTTTTTTTTTTTTTTTTTTTTTTTGAGACGGAGTCTGGCTCTGTCGCCCGGGCTGGAGTGCAGTGGCCGGATCTCAGCTCACTGCAAGCTCCGCCTCCCGGGTTCACGCCATTCTCCCGCCTCAGCCTCCCGAGTAGCTGGGACTACAGGCGCCCGCCACCTCGCCCGGCTAGTTTTTTGTATTTTTTAGTAGAGACGGGGTTTCACCGTGTTCGCCAGGATGGTCTCGATCTCCTGACCTAGTGATCCACCCGTCTCGTCCTCCCAAAGTGCTGGGATTACAGGCTTGAGCCACCGCGCCCGGCCACAAATCTGTTTTGTCTCCTCAGGAAACAAATCTGTGTTGTTGTCCCAGCGCGGTGGCTCACACCCGTAATCCCAGCACTTTGGGAGGCTGAGTGGGGCTGATCATCTGACGTCGGGAGTTCAAGACCAGCCTGACCAACATGGAGAAATCCATTCTCTACCGAAAATACAAAACAATTAGCTAGGCATG